TCAGACAGGGAAGTCTGGGCTCAGCGGTGCCCCTTTCACCCAACAGAATTTCCTTTTCCATGCAAGGCTCCAGGCCAAGGTGCCCATCACTTCCGGCCTCTCCCCAAGCCAAGCTTTGCCTTCAAACCACACAACACTCAGAAACAAGGGCTCAGGGCAGGAAGGTGGTGGGCAGGGGCTGGCTCCTCAGAAGGCCAGAACGCCATGTTCTGCTGCCCAGGCCCAAGAACTCAAGGAAACACTTCTGCTTCCAGCCCACACTGCCCCAGGCAAAGGAGTAAGAAAGCAGATGGCCTGGCTGGGAGAAAGGGAAATGCCCGGCGGCTTGGCGGCTGCAGCAGGGCCCAGGAAATGGAACAGGAAAGATTTGACAATTCTGAAGGAACCTTTTCAGAGCCCAGCTCTGGAGGTTTCTTTTGACCTTTCTACATGTGCCTCAGCCAGTGAATTTATTATCTGGCAAGAGTTCTGATCCTGCACCTCAGAGCCCCCAGGGAAGAAGGCCTTGGCTCCAGAAAGCCACAGACTGTGGATGTGGAGTCTGGTACCTTCTTCAGACCCACTTCCTGCGGTCCTGTCTCCTCCCACGTGCACCTGGAAAGGTGAGGAGAAGGAGAGCCCGAGTCCTGCTGAGGCCGCTGTCCTTACGGCTGCTCGCCCTCCACTGATGAGTGAGCGCACCCAGCTGGGGAGACACAAGACCAGGGCATCCAGTGCCCTGCGGCAAGGACAAGGCGAGTGCACCTCCTCCACTGTCCGAGACGCTCATCTGCACCCTAATGATGAGAGTCCTGCCTGGAGGCCGGCTGGGCGGCCATAGGAGCTTCCCCTCGGAGCTGGAAGGCTGTTCTCCTGCAGCAGGCCGCTGAGGCACCTGCAGGGCCACCTGTCCTCAGTCGGGGCCCTCAGGCGCAGCGCCGCCGCCGCACCCACCCAGCGCTGCGGACTAGCATCTGCCTTCTCCTGGCCCTGGGGGTGCCGGCACCGAGCCTCCCAGCTGCTGGCTCATCTGGGGTCCTGCTGCGCCCGATGCGGCCACAGTCACGTCACATGACAAGCTAGATTAAAGGATGGCTTCTTTCCTCTTGTCCCCTCATTTACACAAATAACTTTTTTTGCTTTTTCAGGAGCCACATGCTTTTAACATAATCTTTATTCCCCTCAATCTGGACTTTTTTCCTGTGCTGCCTTCCTTAGCTGGGCATGTGGTGCTGGCACTGTGACCTCGAAGAGTGTCCTCTGGTCGCACCCCCGACCGCTTCACGGCTGCCCCCAACCCACACACGGTGTTCCTGAGCCTGGTGGAAAGAGCTGGGCCGAGAATGGCAGAATTCCCCCGGAATTTCCCCGTCGAGTTAAACAAGACCATATGAGGCTCCAGAGAGGCCTGGCTGGAGCCGGCAGTCGGGATTCCAGGGTTTGGGCAGGGAAACTGCGATAAGCTCCAAGGTGCGCAAGCCCGGCGCCGCCGCGAGGAAAGTTGGGTTCGCAGCCCAGGAAAATCCACTCTCCTCCTGGAAGAGGCTGAGACAATGGAACTGACCCCACCTGGGCCGGGAACACGCAGCCTCCCAGCTGCGGGCTGAGAAGGCTTGAAGGGGCTGCGAGGAGAAGGACGGCGGTGGGGTAGGGCTCGCGGGCGTGGGGAGCCGAGAGCCGGCTCCTTCACTCCGCGCCCTCGCCCTGGACGCGCCACACCGCGGAGCCACTCGCTGAGGGACGGTGCGCAGGGCCGGAGCCTGGCCCAGACCCAGGGCCGCGCTGCGTGCGCCGCCTCGGCCCGCTTGCCGTCCGCGCTCCGGCTGCCCTTTCTACTCTCGGCCGGGAGCTCAGCAAGGTTCACCCAGCGCAGAGCCAGAGCCGCAAGCACGCACACGCACGCGTGCGCACACGCACGCACACATGCGCACACGCACGCGGTGGTCCAGGAGCCAGGCCACAGCGCCTGCCGTCGACACGGGGCCCCTCACCTTGTGAAGAGCAGCGCAACTGCGTCTGCACAACTCCAGCACCTTAAACCCAGACGGAAATGGCCCGGTTCCTGCCTTCCTCATCCTCTGTGCTGTGTAGGGTCTTCCACTTGCTCCAGGTCACCCTGAGGGACCCACACAGCAGCACACCCTGTGACAGTGTTCCCCCTGCCGCCTTCCAACCTGCGTTCTCTTCCCTGCCCTCCCCAGCCCACCATCCTTCTGTGCAACTCTAGGCAAACGACAACAAGTCCTTCCCATGGAGAGTCCTGAGGGACCTAAGAAGCAGCAACACCCTCCTCCACCTGGACCAACAAGCAGGTGGCAGGCAAGCACAGGACCAGCTTAGAGCCAAAAATACACCTAAACTGAAGCGCTGAAATGACTGACTTCTGAGGTACAAGCATGACTGCCTTCAGCACATGTGGGAACACGTCCTTAGGAGATGGAGGCAGAGTGTGAAGAGCGCATAGCCCTGGTGAGGCGCACAGGAATCCTCCGCAGTGCCCGAGTGAGTGTGGCTCTGGAGTCAGACTGTCAGCATCAAAGCCCAGGCCCAGTGTTCGTAGGTGTCTGTCCCCTGCTTCCTAGCCTTTGTGTCAGAAAGTCAAGCCTAGAGGATTGTTGTGAGATTTAAATAATCCTGCCGCTAGGGAGGCTGACACAGGGTCCAAGTTCAAGGCCAGCCTGGGCAACTTAAGACCCTGTATTTATTTATTTATCTAGGGCGGAACCGGGGATTGAACTCAGACCCTTGCACTTGCTAGGGAAGTGCTTACTCCACTGAGCCATCTCCCAGGCCCCAAGACCCTGTATTTAAAACAAAAATCAAATTCACCCATTAGGAGATGCCGTTCTTCGTTAAACACTGGGGGGTTCTATCATTTCACAGCCCCCAGAAATTCACGTTTGAGAATCGTGGGCCAGAAGATCCAGTTTCCCTTAAAATGGTTGTAAGTGGGCACCGCGCACACACGTGAACACGCACATGCACACACTGTGACCCCAAGCCTGGAAAAGTACAAGTTTTCAGCTGAGATACCTTGGATGCCTCTGGGGGAGGGAGAGGGTGTCCCGGCTTCAGCCAGGACAAGCCACACACACACCCTTACCCTACACGCTCCAATGCCTGTGTGTGTGCACGCGCGTGTGGTGTGTTCAGATATGCCATTGTCCGAGGTGCCCATCAGGGGTGTCTCATGGGATACAGCTTCGTCCTTGTGGCTGACAGAGCTACACCACCGCAGCCACAACCCTGAGAGCCACGTTTGAGCTTACCTGGCAACTTGGGGTCCTCCAGGAAACAATGCTGAGCTCAGAGCGCCTGGCAGGTGAGACCCGCACTAAAAGGGCAAAAGGTCTGGGAAAGTCTTCGCACTGAAGGCCTCTGGCTCACCTTGCTGCAGGAACATGCAGCGCAGGGAGCTGGCAAAACCGAGAGGCAGAGTCTCCGGTCACTGGGCCACAGCGCCCCCCCTCCCAGGAGCGACTGCCTGCTGTAACGGCTCAACATCGCCACCAGGTGGCCAGACACCTAAATGCCAGCTTCCCGGACCCTTGCTGGGAGCCCAGGATTTAAAACCTGACCCCCTCTATAAGGCCCACCCTTCTTAACCCCAATTTCACTGTGGTTCTTGCAGCTTGTAAGCCTGAGTTTGACTTCCCATGGCTGCAACACGCAGGACTCTGAGTTCAACGCTCATTAAATGTGAAATGGTTTGGTTAGTGGCTGCAACGACTGAGATACAAGGCAGTCTGAGAGGACCAGAAAATGCTGTCTCCAGCTCCCAGCCAGGACTAAGATTCCCTGGTTCCCTTCGGGTGGGCCCTAAGTTCGAGAGACCAGCACAGCACTGCACAGCCCCCCAAGCCCAAGGCTGCGCCCCCACCCTACCCAGACAGACCCTACGACACCTGTGTGGCTGTGAAGCACAGGCGCCTAGGGTCTCCTCCTCCCATGCGAAGGGCAGCAGCTAGGAAGCTGGCCAAAGTCCACTTCTCCTCCCCGACGACACCATGCCACACTCCCTGGTTGCCACCTCCTGCAGCCTCTCAGGCCTGTCCATATCTCCCAGCTCTCCTTGGACAGCAGAGAATGGCCAGGTGTATGAGGCTGCAGTGCCAGCTACATGGTTTGGGACCAGTGCAAAATAATGAAGGGTGAAGACTTGAAAGGCAACAAAAGACAGCTAAGCAAGTCCAAGAGCCTGTGGGGATGGAACTTGTGCTGCACAGTGCCCAGCCCACCTTCCCCAGCAAAGGGCTGCACAGCGGCACCCTCCACAGCCCCGTGCCACCCCCTCAATGCCTGTTCGTACCAATGACTTCAGTCTTCATGAGAGCCTCAGAGTGGTACGCTTGAGCTCTGGCTATGGATGCGCGGCCCATCCTACTCACTGGCCAGGAGTAATTCTGCACCTCGGGGCACTCTTTTGGAGAATGCTTTATTGATTCCCCAGGGCTCAACTAAGTCTGTGAATCCCAGCAGGCTCCCAGAACCATGCCAGGACAGTGGGATCCAAGGCACCATTGCAGACTTTGTCTTGGAGTGGCAGGACACAGTTAAACTGCTGCTCCAACTGCAGCATGCTTTGGAACCCTCTGGGGCCTCTCAGAGCATAGACTGCTGCCCTCCTGCCCAGAGCTACTAGCTCCAGAGGGCCTAGTGCAACATGGGAAGTCACGCCTGTGTGTGCCCTGGGGACCCGGATGTTCCTGCCAGTCACACATGATAACCTGCTTCCTCCAGGCTTCCTGCTGAGGGCACTGGACAGAGCAGGGTTGGCCCCTCTGAGGGGAACTTAAGACCAGTTTCTTACAAAACAAGTTCTATCACGTACAATCACCTATGATGAATGTGATCATTATGTATAACTAAAATGTACCAATAAAATCTGATTTGGGGAGTGAAAGACTAGTTCTTGCAAATGCAGCTAGAAGGAGAGCCTGTCAACTTCAGAAGAAAAAACGTAGTTAAAAACACACAATGGTTTACTCTCAGACACAAATGCACACACTGAAGCCACCCTCGGAGCTGGTGATACAGATCCATTTTTAGACTCCTGTTTCCCAGAGTCCTGCAGGCTGGGGTTTCCTGAAGAGGGTAACCTAGGACTCCACAGCCCTGAGCCTGCACCCCCACTCGCATGGAGAGGGTCCCCAACAGCTTCTCTGGAGCCGGAGAAGAGAGCCCGCGGCTCTGGGCCGCAGTGAGGGAGCTGTGTCTTTGAGCCTTCTCCTCGGCCAGCAGTCGGCGCCTCCTCCCCAACTCTGGGCCACACGTGGAGGCTGAGGGAGGCCACGCTTCCAGGCAACTCTGAGGCTCACAGGCAAGTGTGCAGTCTGGGTTCTGGGGGAGCAGGGGCCCAAGGAGGACAGTGGCCAGGGATCCTGCTCTCAGCCTGCAGCCGGCCTGCGGGGTGGCCACACAGGCATGCACGTTGAGTCATGTGGGGAGCGCCATCTTTACACCCCAGTCTGCTCTTTGATCCAGGTCCGAAATACAGGGAGCCTCGTGTATACGCCGGGCTTGTTCTTCTGCGCACAGCCTTCACCCCAGCTCACTACGCCTGCCTGGAAGATTCGGCCATCGGCCTCCACGCTGGACAGGGGGCCCCCAGAGTCACCCTGAGAGGAGACAAGACCAAGTATGAGGGCCCCGCCCCGCCCACCCATCCCACCCCTCCCAGCCCACCCGCCTCAGCCCACACACCTGGCAGGCGTCCACACCCCCACTGAGGAAGCCCACACACATCATCCGGGGGGTGATCTGCTGAGGCAGCAGGTCCTCACAGGTCGTCTGGTTGATGACTCGGATCTCACCCTTCTGCAGGATCAGGGCCCCCGTGCCTGGGGAGAGGGCACAAGACAGGCAGGCAGCACCTCAGAGAGCTGTGCACATGGGCCAGAGCTCCTGGAATATGCTCCCCGTGGCCATCAGGTTACCAGCAAAATCCTGAAACCACTCAACACCCAGGACCGACAAGCCTAACCAGGCAGCACACCTGCCTGTCACCCAGGAGAAAAGCTGGAGATCTGCCGGCCCTGCAGCAAGGCAAGCTGGGGTGCGTTCAGGGGCACACCCGGCCTACCATGCCGAGAGCCTGAGCACCCCAAACGAAAAAGCACTAAGTGCAGGAAAACAGGAGGAAGACTGAAAGTGCAGCACACCACAGAGATCTGGTCCAACAGCCAGGCTTTGCTGTTTCCTCCTTGTCTGCTCCACAAGCTTCAGCAATGAGCGTCACTATGGTTCTCCCAGTACCTCCCACAGGTGGGACCCTGGCCCGATGGAAAGCTCACCTCCCTGCTCCGTGTGCCCCCAGCCTGTGACCCAGATGGCCTTGCCGGCCGGGAACACATGAGAAGTATCAGGCAGGCAGATGGGCCGCACCACAGCGCTGTATTCCGCAGGCTTCTTCAGTTCCAGCAGGGCAATGTCATAGTCAAAGGTGAAGTCGTTGAAGGAGGGGTGCCGGATGATGCGTTTGAGCTCATGCTCCTGCACCCCGCTGGCTGTGCGCTGGCCCTGGTCCAGCAGGCCCAGGAAGGCCGTCCACTTGGTGGGGTCTGAGTACCTGGGAGGGGAGAGGGCGGCTGCTGTGCACGGACCCCTCAGCGCAGGACGCGGGCACCTCGCACCGGCCACGCTCTCCGCTTCTGCCAACCGGCACCCACAGCGGCCTGAAAGCAGGGGTGCACCTGACCAGACTGCAGCCTTGCAAACCACGAGCTAACACAACCCTTCTCTTTATTACTATCTCAGGGACGTGTCAGAGCAACAGAAAGCTCTGACATGGTTCAGAACCCACATGGTTCTTTAGGTCTGTGTGGCCACAGGCAACAGAGATTCCACGTGAGAGGTCGTGGCCACTGAGAGCCCCACAGTGCCCAGTGGGCAGAAGACTGCATCCCCCTCAGGGCTGACACGTGGGATCCTTTATTCTCCACACGGCCCTGCCAGGCTGGCCAGCCCATTCTGAGCTGAGGCCTTGGACACAGAGCAATGAGCTCCTTTGCCCACACCCCACAGCCTACACATGTCGGCCACAGTCCACCTTGGCTCTACCTGACTCCATTGCCCAAGGAAGCTGACCCTGGGCCACTGCACACTTCACAGGCTCCCTCAGGCAGGGTGGTTGAGGCACTGTTGACCTCGGGTACCCTGACCTACAGGGTGTTCCCAGGAACTGCCTTCCCCACCCTTGGGCAGAATGCTGAACACTGCACCGTGGGACCAAGGATGTGTGCAGGTAGTTCTGGCATAGTGCTTACTGTGCGCACAAGAGTGTGCCCACACGCACATGTGTACCACAGATTTCGTCCCCACCCTGGTGAGTCTGCAAAGCGCAGAGATCACGTTTTATTCATACATGTCTCCTGGTGCTAGCAGCAAGACGCACGGCAAATGCATTAATTGCACTTTTTTTTTTTTTTTTCAGTGTTGAGGAAAGAACCCAAGGCCTTGAGCATGCGAGGCAAATAGTTCTGCCACTGAGCTACACCCCCAGCTCTAGCTGCACTATTAACTGGCAGGAGTAAGACTGATTAACAGATGAAAAATAAAATAAGGAGAGAGGCGTGAGGAAACAAGGGCCTGGAGTGAATCCCTGCCCCCCAGCCAGGCCCGCCAAGAGCCAGGAAACAGTGACACTGCAGTGACAGGGGGCACCGAGGTTCTAGTCTTGGCTTATAAACACCATCCCTGGGCTAGAGATATAGCTCAGTGGAATAAGCGCCTGCCTGGCAAGCACAAAGTCCAGAGTTCGATCCCCAGTACCAAAAATAAAATAAGAGGAGCCGAGGAGATGGTTCAGTTGACTAAGTACTTCCCTGGCAAGCTCAGGGGCCTGAGTTCAATTCCTAGTTCTGCCAAAAGAAAAAAATAATAATAATTAAAAATTAAAAAATAAAAAATAGAAAATGAAATAAACTATAGTAAGAGCAGATCTTATGTTGTGTTCTAACCACAAAAAAAATAAATAAATAAATAAACACCATCCCTGATAATGGTGGCGCTCACCTACAATCCCAGCACCCAGGAGGCTGAGGCCGGAGGATGGCCAGGAGTCCAAGGCCAGCCTCAAGTGCACATGCAAACTATCCTGGCTGATCCTAGGACTGGGACAGAGAAGGTACAAGGGAGGCCTAGCAGGCCTGGTGGTGCTATAAAGCAAGGAAATGCCTCAAATTAAAAAATTTTGAAAGAGCATGTGACACAGAAGCCGACCTCAAAGCAACTTGAGCAACCAAGCACGCGGCACGCTGCTGGATTGCAGCCCCAAGCATAAAGCCTATGCCACCAACGTATGACTAACAAATAAGAAAAGGGCCACCCTCCCTACAGAAAACTCATCAGCTGGCTCACAGCCGAAGACAGGCATACAGAGAGGACAAAAACTCCAGCATGGTCCTAACCCAGGGAAACCGAGCAGCGTCTCTGCAGGGGCCATGCGGTGCCGATACTGTGATGGGAGTCCTTCCAAACACCCCTGGCCTCCGTCCAGAAGAACCTCAGACCCTGAATAGGCTTCTCACTCACAGCTTCACACACTGGCCTTCCAGGCCTTCTTCTGAAATCTAGGTGGAAGCCTTCTTAACCTCAGAACTCCTGCATTCTGAATGCACCTAAAACCAGTGCCACGTGGATGACGCCAAGGTCTGCTGCCAGCTGGAGCAGTACCCAGGCTTCCTTCTCTCTTGGCTATAGGGGTTGAGTGCCTGAACTGCTGAGCACTCTGACCCTCATTCCGAGGAATAAATTCTCCACACCAGCGCCATTCTGGAACCTGGTGAAACTGCTTCCGTCATTCTGGAACATGAGGCTCTTTGGGTTTTTACCCAAGGCAAAGTCTCTCTCCCTTGCAATTCTTAGGCTGCAAAGAGTAGAGATATTCTGCCTTCAGTGATGCCCCCAGCCATCCTTTCCATTCTCTTGTTCCTTCTTGGCAATCCTCTCAGCTCAATCTTTGCATTTCACAGCTTTATTGGAGCTTCCTTTCTGGTCAAACTCACAACATTTTAATTTTTTTTTTGAATTTATTTGTGTGTGTGTGTGTGTGTGTGTGTGTGTGTGTGGCCAGCTCAGCCCACCAGGGGGCGGGCTGGCTGGCATGTGGTGCTGGGGAATTGAACCGCGGTCCCCACGCTTTGCTAAGCTTGTTCTAAGTAGGCGCTTTAGACCACTGAGCCATCTCACCAGCCCCACTCACAACATTTTAAATCATCCTGCTAGGTTCTTTGCTCTTCATTCTTAACAAAAATCTGGCTAAAAGCCCCCAACAACAGCCATTCCACTCCCTCAATATTTGGCTGCTTTAAAATAGTTTTTGCCAGATTAATCAGTCCACTATGCTTAATCTCATTCTCAGGCAAAGTCTCTGGACATGAACAAAAATGCAGACAAACTGTCTGCCAAGCAAAAACACACACTGTCTGGAGTCCAACAGCCAATGCAGTCCTTCTTCTCAGCAAAAAGCTCCTGGCCTGGTCTTCACAGGCCAGCTTTCTATCAGCCTTCTGGTCTGAGCTCTCACCAGAATCTTCCCTACAGAATAGCTGAAGCTGTTCCAGCACTTCTCTTGTAGGCAACCTCTCCAAACCTTTCTTATCTCTTCCTATAAGCCATTCCCAAAAGCTTGTAATCCACATGGTCAGGTTTAGCCACAGCAATGGCCCCACTCCTGGTACCAAATTCTGTCTTAGCTACTCTTCTCTCATTACTGGGACAAACACCCGACATTCAAAATGAAGGAAGAGCCTAAGGAGAGTCACATGGAGGGAAAACTTTCTCTCAGGCTTTTACAGAGAGCAAATTGGTCAAGCACTGGCTGTGACTCATCCACATGGCTGACCCTGACAAAGAATCTACAAAGTACAATACAGGGTTACAGGATAAATCCTGAGGGGACTTGACTGACCTTATCAGATACAAAAGTTACATTTCTTGTTATATAGGTCTTGCTTTATCTTGCTCTTAACCATCCAGCAGAAAAGTATAAAAACGAGGTATATAAAGTAATGCCATATTAATATGATGAGTTGTAAAAGGCTCTAGTCAACAACTTCTGCAGACAACCCCTTACTATTGTGGACTACTGGACTGTGTTGGATTGTTTTGCTGATTCAAGCACCTATGATATTTAGATGCCAATAGAATCCCCATCTCTGACAGGACTGAACTGGAGGGGGGGATACAGAGGCAGGGCCATTTTGTATTTGTATATACAGAATAGTTAGGATAGATATATGGCTGCTTTTGCTTGGTTCAGTGAGAGGAAGGATTTTTGTAGTAGTGTTTGGACAGGATGTCCTGGCTGCTTCTTGTGCTATGGATGACCACTGAGAAGATAACAATGTGCAATGTATTAATTATTGAAAATGTCCTATTAATCAGCTTAGAAAGTATCTCATTGATATTTGTTTCTCAATAAAATTAAAAAAAAAAAAGAAGAAGAAGAAGAAGGAAGGAAGGAAAGGTGTATTTAGCTCACAGTTAGTGGAGGTTTCAGTCCATACTCAGCTGGCTCCAAGGCAGAGCAGCACATGGCAGAGGGCAACAGTTCATAGTGGTAGCAGAGAATAAGAGAGCAAATAGAAGAAGAGCAGAAGCTCAGGCAGCTAGCTAGCCTCTCTCCCCTCCTTACACTGTAATGCAAATTGCCTGCCCCAGAGCAAGTGCTGCATCCACACCCACAGTAATCAATCACAAACTCAAGAAGCTGTACCATGACTGCATGAGACTTTGGGGGGACAACTAGACACAAACCATAACAGGACATGATGGGAGTTCTTTCAAGCACCCCTGCCTCAGTCCAGAAAAACCTCAGAGCCCACAAAAGATGTTCTGCAGCACAGTTCGCCTTCGGGCTGACAAGGAGACTTAAAAGGGGTCTTGGACCACAGTGCACTAGAGACAGGCCGGGAGATGCAGCACACGACCCCAGCCTGCATCCTGACCTGGAACAGTGGTGACACTGGCGCGAGATCTGATGATTCCTGGTGAGCCTGGACAGTAGCAAAGGCTGGTACTAGTTTCTTATGTGATCACTGAGGGGCTCTATGTGAAGGGTACAAAGAATCCTCTACCACCTTGGCAATCTGCCTGAGTTCTGGAATTACAATGTATCTTAAAAAGTCTTAAGGAAGCCCCCATCACCCTCAAAAGAAAGGAAAGTCATTCTTGTCCAGGTGGAGACCAGGGAGAAAGGAGAATGTTCTTGGGCTGGGGGAGACTGAATGGCCAAAGCCCCTCGAGGCCTGGGGACAAGCGGGCTGGCTCTGTACCCACCATCACCCCAGCCACAAGCACCTGCCTGACCTCCCCACTCCTGTGCCTCTGCATACTACAAAACGTCACTGTCCCTGAGCTGCCTGCCCTGCAAGAGCCTGCAGCCAGCACAAAGGCCCACTATTGGGGGTGGGGGATGTCTCAGAGAAGACCCCCTCCCCAGTGATGAGAAAGCCTGGCAGACCAGGAGCTGAGACACAAATTGCCCTGGCCCCGTGCCCTATTCCTGCCAATTCTCCCGCCTCTCAGACCCTGTGCCTGCTCTCCTAGTCCCGGGCCACCTGTGACCCCTCTTTCTGAACTGTGCCACCATGTGCAGGGACAGCAAGGCGCATTATCAGATTCAGTTCTCAGCATCACATCACCAGGGACGAGCCCAGCACCTGGGCGTCCAGGTAACTTTCCCAAGGTCACCTGTGTGCTGCTAGGCAGAGCGGAGCCAAGACCCAAAGCTCACCGTGAGCCTACGCCAAGGGGCCACACAGTGCCCTCTGAGCGGCAGACTTCAGAACTGTCACACCTGGCATAGGTCTGACCCTGCCAAAAGCCATTACCTCTCCAAGTTCCCACCTGAGGGGACACAAACAGACCTGTCTAGCATATTGCAGGTGGATGTAGAGTGCCAGACACTGAGCACCCCGTAAAAGGGAGTTTTATTAGTTCTGCTATTAAGCCCCCTTCACAAATATCTGCCACCCTCCACCACCCTGCCCAGGTGCCAGCCCCCCGGCAGGACCCCCACACCTACTTGAAAGTTAATTCATCCATGAAGCAGTGCGCTGCCGAGACCAGCCAGTTGGGAGAGATGAGTGAGGCCCCGCAGACGTGGCCCTGGCCCAGGGCGTGGAGGCTCACCTGCCAGGGCCACTCGCCGCTCTCGGAGTCCGTGCCCCCGACCACCCGAGCTCGTTTGGTGAACGACCGCAGCCCACAGTCTGGAGAGGAGACAGAGCACCGAGGACGGGCGAGTCCAGGTGCTGCTCAGCACCAAGGAGGTGCTCCCGGCATAGGGCACCCTGCGCAGGGCGCTGGTGTCGGACACAGAGTGCTGGAGCAGGAGTGCTCGGGGCCTTCCGGAAGCATTCCCACCTGACTTCCACCCCGCCAACCCCTCCACTGCTCCACGCTCAAAGCCCTCCTCCTCCCCGACCTCTACTGAGCAGGACCAGGCCAGCACCGAGGCCCACGCGCCAGCCACGTGACTGAGGTCTGAGGTGCTGGCTGCCTGGGCCTCTGCTAGGACAGGACGCCAGGCAAAGGCCCCATGCACTCCAAGGCAGGGCCTCTGCAGAGTGATGGGACCCTGACGTGCTGCTCAGAGGTGGGGTCTGGCCATAAGAGGCGGGTACTGGGTTGTGACCAGGAAGGGTCTGTCGCCCCCAGCTCCTCCCTTCTTTGCTTTGAGTCTCCATAACCTGAGCAGGTCTTCCTTCACTATGCCCTCTCCCATGCCATTTTCTGCCTTGAAGCCATCAAGGCCATAGAACTTGAATCCAAATAAACCTCTCCTCCTGGAAGCTGCGGGTGTTGGGCACTGCGTCAGTGATGACAGAGGGAGCTGCACACCCTTGGTCCAGGCCAGAGCTGGGCCACGGCGCAACCTCTGCCCAGTTAGCAGCGTCAGCCTTCCTTTAATGTTATTTATTTATTTATCTACTGGATACAGGGTCTCACTACGCAGTTTGGACTCATAATGATCCTCCTGTCTTAGCCTCCCTAGTGCTGGGATTAGAGTATTTCACCTGGTTTTAGGCCGGTACAGCGTGCTCAGAGCTCTGGGGCCAGCACGGCAGTGATACCGGGGATCGAACTCAGGTCCTTGCACTTGCCAGGCAGGCGCTTGTGCGCCGAGCTGGCTCCCCAGTCCCAGAATCATCCTTTCAGACAGATGGACGCTCTCTCAGGCCCAGAGCCCGGTGAGTAAGGCATCACCCTCAGGAGAGCCCCCACCCGCCCTTAAACCCACACCCGGCTGCTCACCACAGTTCTTTTCATCTGAGCCATCGTTGCAGTCTTTCTTCCCATCACACTCGGGGTTGCCCTTGTTCACACACAGCCCGTTGTCGCAGCGGAAAGTGTGGCTTGTGCAAGTGACCACGCTCACTGCTCAGGGAGGAGGGCAGGAGGAAGGCATCCGTTGCTCGCAGCGTGAGCCCGGAAGCCAGAGGCCACAGGGACGCCGCCATGCCCCAGCCGCTGCCTGCTCCTCCCCAGGGCCGCTGTCCCCCAGCTCTGCCGCAGGCTCACACCGCCGGCCCGAAGCTCCTTCCCCCTGGCCGCTTCTTCTCTCCGCGCTTTAGTGTGCTTATCAACTTCCAGGCATGCTGTGCTCATGCCTACCCATGCAGGGGCGTCCCTGTGCCCCAGGGGGAGGCAGGCAGGGCCAGGCCTCACCAGTGTCACAGGAAGCCTCATCCGAGCCGTCCCCACAGTCGTCCCTCCCATTGCACTTCTGGTTCTTCGGGAGGCACTTCCCACTGGTGCACTTGAAGGTCCCCTCAGGACACTCTGGGGAGGCACAGGTCCTTAGCCCCTTGGGGCCAGGCGGCAGCAGCAGGGCCTCCATGCCCACCCGCCCCGCCTGCCCACTCACTGCACGCCAGCTCATCGCTGTTGTCCCCGCAGTCATTCACTCCATCACAGACCCAGTACAGGGGTTTGCACATCTTGTTCTTGCACGTGAACTGGTGGCTGGGGTTGCAGCCTGGGGACAGCAGGGGAGGGCAGGACTCAACTGCAGGCCAGGCTGCAACTCTAGCCCCTCGGTGGCGGCAGCCTTATGAGGACTTCTCCCTTCCTGGGGCTACCAGGAGGGCAGGAACCCACCCCACTAGCCATGAAGGAGGCAGAAAGACCCTGCGGCTGCCAGAGGAGCCGAGATTCCCCAGGCAGGGGGGGAGCAGGCCGGGCGCATGCCAGGTGTCCCTGCACAAGCAGAACTCACTGCAGTTGCGCTCGTCGCTGTGGTCCGTGCAGTCTGCCCAGCCGTCACAGCGCAGACCCGTCTGGATACACCGGCCCGTGCCACAGGTGAACATCCCTGGGCAGGCTGCAGGAGGGGGTCCGGGGCTCAGGGTTCCACTCCCCCGCCGCCTCCCGCCACCCTGCAGACATGGGGCTCAAGTGCTGAGGCCCAGGCCGAGTGGCTCCCACACCAGCCTCCTGGCAGCAAGGCCTGCCCCCAGCTCCAGCACCCCAGCTGCGTCAGAGCCCTCTGCTGTGTCCTCGCCTCTAGGTGCCAGGCACCCTGGCCGTGACGTGAGCAGCTGGGCACGCCCATGACTGAGGCACCCCGGCCAAGTGAAAGCCCATGCCACAGACTGCCTTCAGGCTAAGATGAGCTCCACATCTCAAGTGCTTGTGAAGCTGGAAGGCGTCTGCCAACGCCGGGCACCGCCGTCACACACACACCTCGGTCACACACACCCCTCCAGTCACACCTTTGGTTAGTCATGAAGTCAAATTTTAACTTAAATGTGGATTCCCAAGTGAATTAAAACGTCCTCCAAAAGGTCATTCTGTGATGCAGGGTTGAAACTCTAAAAAATTAAAGGTTGAGCATCTTTCATACAAAAATCCAAACTCTAGAATGCTCCAAAATCTGAAATTTTTTAACACAAGCCTGATGCCACAGCGGCAAGTCCCACTGACCCGAGGGGATGAATTACACGCAAGCAGATCCCCTCAAAGAAGTGTAGCGCGTTGCCCGCAGCCACGGACGCAGGGCACACAGGAAACGGAAATGAATTCCACGCTTGGATGTGGGTCTTCCCCCCACGATAGCCCACTGTGCATACACAAATATTCCAAAACCCAAAAACATCTGAAATCTGTGACACTTCTGGTCCTGAGCTCTTCAGATAGAGAATCTTCAAACTGCACATAGCCAGCAGAATTACACAGCGCTCCCAGCCCATACCCACTAAAAGAAAAGTGCTAAAAAGCTACAATGAGGGCCAGCAAGATAGCTCAGTGGACTAAGTGCCTGCTTAGGCAAGCTCAGGGACCAGAGTTCGATTCCCAGTACTTCATGTTGCACTGGCCCTGCTCCCTGGGCACACTGAGCTGGCCACCAAGACCAGGCGTGGTGGCACAGGCCTGTGATCCCAGCTCTGGGGAGCCTGAAAACAACAGGATCACTATGAGTCCGAGCTGCATAGTGAGACCCTGTACCAAATACATAAATTAAAATAAATAAACAAAAATAAAAAGCCACAAGGACAAAAATGGATCCAAAAGTCAGTGATGCCAAAAGAAGGTCAGGCTGGCCAGGGCAGGACGGTCCTCAGCCCTAGGCCGCCCCGCCCCCACCTCCCCAGATGCGTCCCTGAAAGTCAAGGTACAAGGGGGTACCAGCACTCGCTATCAGCCTGTTTATTTTACTTTACCTTATTTTCCTTTGTAGTACTAGGGGTTGAGCCCACGGTCTTCACACTGAACAATATCCTCAGCCCTTTTTAAACTTTTTGAGTCTCACTAAACTACCCAAGCTGGGATCAAGCTTACGATACTCCTGCCTCAGCCTCCCAGCGTAAATACAGATACAGGCCCCCAAGCCCAGATACTGTCAGCTGTTTTGTTTTTTGCTTTTTGCTTTCTTTGAGACAGGTTCTCCCTGTGTAGTCCAGGCTGGCTTCAAACTTCTGCCTCAGGCTCCTACATGCTAGGTTTACAAGCATGCACCACCACAATCAGATTTTTAGAATAAAATCAAGATGACACTTTTTTTTCCTCAAAAAGCCACTAGAGTGACACATATCTGCCCCTCCCACACCTGAGAATCTAGAACCACAATGCTAATAAGACACAGAACAGAGGTTCAAGCGCTTGTGGGGCCAGCACCTCACGCCCTCCAGCCACAGGCACTCACGGTCCTTGGAGTCATAGGAGAGGTACTCGGCGAGGAACCCTGTGTCAGTGTACGAGTGGTCCGAGTGGAAGTGCACCGTGATCCTGCTGCTCTTGCTGGTGACCACAAACTGAGGCCTCTCTCCGCAGTACCTGGAGGAGGGCACAAGGGTGAAGGACCGCGCTGGGAGCTTGGGCCTGGGGTGCAGGGGACCCGGTCCTTCCACCTCCAGCACAGTGCCCCACCGCAGGGCTCACTTCTCCCCGCTGATCTCCACGTAGTCCTTGGAGCAGGTGCCCAGGGCCACATTGGGCTCCAGCAGGTAGAAGTACTTGAAGCGCAACTTCACGTTCTTGTTGTTGGGCACCTGGATGGAGAGGGTGGGGTGGCGTGGATGGAGCAGGACAGGCTGTGACAGCCCCATGCCATGGGCGTGTCCCCGGAGCACGAGGACTCTGGCACCAAACCCTGTGCATTCTATGGAGACTTTCCCTATACAGATGGACTTGCGATAAAGCCTTGTTTTGCTTTGCTTTTTTTTTTTTAAGACAGGCCCTCACTGTGTAGTCCAAGCTGTCTTCAAGCTCACAGTGATCCCTGTGCCTCAGCCTCCTGAGTGCTGGGATTATAGACATGCACTACCACGCCTGGCTGAAGGTTTGTTTTTTGGAGGGAATTATTATTTAATTCAAGGTCCTCAGCCCCAGCTCGTGGACCAGTACTACACACTGGTGGGCTCCTGGGAATCAGGTGGCACACCGGGAAGCGGCAGGCAAGCAAGAGGAGGGTCTCGAGTTTACAACCGCTCCCCACCCGAGAGCTGCCCCGTGTCAGATCAACACGGGCTTAAGTTCTGCTAGGAGCTCAGACCCCGAGAGGAATCCAAGCTGGGGGCTCCTCGTGAGAACCCAACACCTGATGACTGGGGAGCTGAGGCAGTGAAGCCAGGGAAGTGACTATTATGTGTCACAAACACACTCAAGAAAACCTACATCTCAGCCATGGAAAACCTCTTCCTCAAAATGGGTCCCTACAGCTATAAAGAATGATAAGCTCGAAGCCTTCATAGTTCAGTGGATGCCACTTGAAGATATACTTATAAGTGAAATAAGCCAGACCCACATGTGTAAATATTGTATTGTCTCCCTAGTATAAGAACTTAAAGGAGGAATTACATATAGAAAGTTACAACACAAATAAAAGGAAAGAGAGAACTTGAGGATTGGACAATGAGGAGTGGGCAAGGAGAGAAGCTGGGAAACATGACAGGGGCAAAGCCGTGCATTTGTACACATGAGGTGGGTGGGGCAGTGAGCCTGGGGGACATCAGCAGGTTTTTGAGACTAGCAGTTGGCTGGTGAGATTCTCACCCTGACTAACTCTATATGCTGGTGCCCGTGAGCCAGGCGGCTGCACCAACGATGGCGATGTGTAATAGAGGGGTCACGCTTGCAGTGCCTGCCATCCCGGTCTTCTAAATATGTACTTCTTGTCATGACATACCATTTATTGCCATAATGTCTCTCAAGTAAAGGGGTTTTTTTTGGAAGAACCGGGGAATGAACTCAGGCCCTTGTGCTTGCCGGGGAAGCACTTATTCCACTGAGCCATCTCCCCGGC